GTTGGCAAGTTCTCACCTATGTGTATAATATGAGGGTTTACAGCACACCCCTTGGGTGAAGAGCTCAACTACAACTTGAACTTTACCTTGGACATGGAAACAATGTAACCTAAACATTTGTACCCTCATATTAATGTGAAATTAAATAAAAAGTAAATGAGCCCTTTAAATAATAAGGAAATTATTAGTTTTGCAGTAGCAAATTTATATAAGTTATGTTTCTTAAAAGATCCCCCCTGCCCCCAATGTACTCATCAATACCTTTTTTGTGAAGTGTAAAGGAGAGCTCAAATCCTGTTTTGGAAAGTTGAATTATAACTATAGAGTCTATTCTGGAATATGGAAACATTTAACCTTAGCATTTCTGAACAGTGGATACTTATACCCTGTTGAAAATAATCTTTGTACTTACAGGATGCTGTGGGAATTCCAAGCTTTCTATAATTTAAATTTAATATAAACTGAAATATATATGTTAAATTCCTAAAATTACCATAAAATTGCAGCACCAAGATAAAAAGCAAGATGCTTGTACAATTGACTGCTCTTCCCCTCTCCTTTGCACAGACTCCTATTGGTGTGACCTTAGCATCTGTTTGACCTGCAGTGTAACCTACGGGAAAAGGACCTTATGGCTAATGTTGGTGAAATGCAGGAGATTTATCAAAACATGTCTGTTTTATCCATTCCAAAATACGTAATGCTGTCGGTCACAACTGGGTTCTTAGATTAGTTGGTCAGCAAATCCTAAAGCCTGTTGACTCGTATTTAAAAAGGGTGGCTGGGTAGCATCAGGGTGCATAGTGATTTTATGCACATTTGTATCACCAATAATGAGATATATGTTCACCATTTTATTCCATCAGCAAGTAAAATGATTGTTCTACTGGACACTGCTATAGTTACTAGTAGTGTAGACATACTACTAAGGTAAGTGAGATTGTGCTAGAATTTGATTTTGGGTATGAATCATTGTAGAGAGGGTACACACAGGGTGAGGTGAGCAAGGTATAGTGGCATACACATGTAGTCCCAGCTACTTGAGAGGTCAGGACATTGAGACCTGACTGGACAGCATAGTGAGACCCCATTTCAAAAACAAGAACAAAATAAAACATGTTGAGGTACATAAATACAAAGACCTTGGATGATTTGCATCACACGGCACTCCTGCGACCCTTCATCGTGACCTGGTAAGCTGGTAACCGTTAAACCCTCAAGTGCTTATGAGAGTGATACACAGGGGCTAACAGTGGGCTTGTAATAGTCATAGCATTCTAATCTAAAGAGGTAAAGACAAGGCAAGATATTAGCCTGTCCTGGAGAGCTCTCTGTGCAGTAAGAGATTGATGCCAGCCATATGTCATTTAAAACCTGTAACAAAAAGCCTAGAATGCTTTTAAGGACATTAGCAAAAAACAGAATCAAGAGCGCACCAGCATGTTGATCAAGAAGTTTGCAAACGATGTCCATCTAGACCACAGGAAAAATGGGATGTTTTCATCTGTTTTCCATCAATGATAAATTTAGATCTCACAGAGGTGTCCAGTCATTTTTATATTCCTTTCATTCTCACCATCTGTGAGCATTTATTGAACAGATGCATGTGGGATAGTTTAATTAAATTTAGATATTAGTCTCATGTATTAGGTATTTGTATATCTAGTTAAGCTATGCAATTTTTCAAAGTACTGCAATTTTTGAAAAATTTAGGATAACTGACTGCTATAGGGAAAAATGTATTATTTTATCCAATGGTCATTTTTATCAAAGAAAATCCCATTTGTAGGAGATTATCTTTAACTGGAAAAATAGACGATTTTCTGAGTGAAATCTTCTGATACACTGGTAGCACGTTGTTTTATAGTTCTTGGCTATGTATGTTAGGCTTGGTATTGATTAGTTGGTTTCTGTGTCGTGAAAATAAAGACCTACGTAGACCTGCATGTCTTATTTTTGGTTATTATTTTCCCTTACCACCATTTTACAGGACACACTCAGATTGGAAGAATATTTTAAATTCAATCCCCCACCAATTTATACTTGCTAGGTTTGGGGGTAAGAGCAAAGAAGAACCTATGTATACATTTGAAGAAATGAGATGATAATGCAGTGTTTTCTGGTAATAAATTGTTGGGTGTCACTATGAAAATTTTGTCTGTATCTTGTGCCATGGAAATTTAAGCTTCGCCAGAAAACATTTATACTAGAAAGAACTTGTGATACTGTCTGGACCAGTACTAGTGACTTGAGCATGGCTCAGAGACACACAGCGTCAGCGTCAGCGTCACCCGGGAGCTGGTTAGACACACACTCGCAGGTCCCATCCCAGACTTTTTGGTCTGAGTCTGTGTTTCTAAGCTCTCTGTGTAATTCTGATGCTCACCTAAGATTCGAGACTCATTGATCTAGGTCAGTGGGCTTCAAAATTCCTTTTTGTCATAAGGACAGTCTATGCAATAATGATGCTTTAAAGTCCAATCAGTGCAAATGTTTCACAAGTTTAGTGAATTGGTGAGTGTTTTAGGTCTCTTGTGTCTTCCTAAGTATAGTTTAGTATAACCACTGATCCCACTGTACAAGCCTGTAATCTAGACCAGCCCCTCTGTGACGTTGGGGCAGCTGAGATCTGAGAAGGTGAGGGATTTGCTTCAGTTTGCTAAGACGGTATTTCAAGATCAGAATTTAGAAACTCTGAGACCAGTGCTTTGGTAGATCAGATAAATTACGTAGGATCACTAATTCTATAAAATAAGCTACCCATGATTTTACTTAAGTATTATGTTTGAAATAACTTTGGAAAGCTAGTTTTAAAATTTCAGGAACACATATTCCATAAAATGAGATGCTATAGGATGCTGATTTTTTAAAATTTAAGTTTCAAAAGGAAAACGTATTACTCATTTTAGAATCTATTGTGTTAGTCAAAATGGATAGAACACCCCTCTAGTTAACTAAATCTGTTGGGTTTATATTTTTATTCATAATGTACCAAAATGGGTTGTAGAAGTGCCCCGTGCACCTAGCGTGGCTTACGTGTACTCTGGGGTTCTTATTTTGGGGCATGAATTACTACATGTCGAGAATACTTATTAAGTGTGGCACGTAATTTCAGGTCACAAATTAAGATTAAGATAGAGCTGGTTGGTGCTTCCTGGCAATTCAGCATACTGAAATACTATATATGGCTGAAGGTGAAGGGTGCCCCTCAGTTCTGTAGGAATTAGCTGTTTGACATCTGGTTTGAACCCCCAGTGTGTACTAGAATTGTGTTTTCTCAAGGCATTATAGCTGAGGGCATAATAAATCCTTGATGAGAATTTCATGCTCCTAAAACACTGGAATACGACTTGCTTTATATATACGCTGCTCAGGTTTTCTCCTTACTTTTGCTCTTTGGGAAAAGGCAGCTGTTGGATGTTCACAGATTGCACTTTTAAGCCATCAGAATCCTGACTTGACTTCCTTGAGATCCGAATCCCAGAGTGGCAGACCTAGTGAATCTATTTGACTTGATCTTTATTACCTGCTGGTTGGTTTATTGCAGAACACCCTAACAAAAATTCAGCAACTTTAACCTCAAGGAAAATCTCAGATTTGGGGCTCCTTCCCTATTCCATGGTTCTTCAATCCCTGCAAAGTGCGAAGCAGCCAGGTTTTTTGCCTCCTGGGTTTTCTTCTTTCCTGACCACCTCACTTTTGCTGACAAAGAGGCCGGCTTGCTTGGTCACCTGGGTAACTCTCGTAGACTCTCAGGGAGTTGCACCCTCAAGCCTACCGGTAATGTGTAGAGCTCTATTCTGTGATATCTTTGTACGTGCTTAAGAGCGGAAGGTTCATGATGACCTTGTTAAAGAAGTTCTTTCATCTGTCTGTTTCTTTGTTTCTTTTTAAAACTAGGTCTCTCTGTGTCACCCAGGCCAGAGTGCAGTGGTGTCATTACAGCTTACTGCAAACTCAAACTCCTGCGCTCAAGTGATCCTCTTCCCTCAGCCTCCTAAGCAGTCAGGACTACAGGTTCCCACCACAAGGCCTGGCTAATTTTTCCCCCTACTTTTTAATAGAGTTAGACTTTTGCTGTGCTTTGCAGGCTGCTCTTGAACTCCTGGCCTCAAGCAGTCTGCCCATATTGGCCTCCCAAAGTGCTGGGAGTATAGGCATGAGCCACTCTACTTAGCCTATTGTGTGTTCTTATACACTAAATAAATACTAAATTATAATTAATATTTTCTCTTTCAGACCACATAGCTTTATATTGGGTCTTCTTCCCAGGTGACTTAGGAGTTTATGAAAAGCTGCCCACCATCCTGGCCTTGTGGAAATACCCGCCTTGTAGGCGGCAGCTGCTTGTCTCCCCCTCTTTGGGCTGTGATTCTGCAGCATTCGGCTGTGGAAGACCTTCCAGCCCAGCCAAGGCTGCCCGCGTCTGACCCCTCTGCCCAGACCGCTGTTCAAACCCTGTCTCCTTTTCAGGGAGTGAGAAGCCTTTCTTCCTTCTTCTTGCCCTAGCCCCCTTCCCGCACTTTCTCAGGCCCTGCCAGTTTTCTTTCCCTTATGTCAAGACAGATTTTATAGAAAACTCCCTTGTCAGCTGTAGGTCGTAAATGATGTTCCAAAAGGCAAAAAAGGGGTCTACGCTAGTTCTCTGATTTGGGGGGAGACATGTCCAAAGGCCTCTGTGGCTAGTTTAGCTGCCTTTCTGCATCCACAGGGCACAAGTGTCCCTGAAGAGTCTGCGCGTACGCGTCCCACTGAGCAGGGGGATCATGCTTAGGCGGTGTTTTCAGTTAGTTTCGACTTGTGTATTTCATCTGCAAAGTTGGCAAATCCTTGAAAGCCACAAGCTACTGTTTTCTGAAAGCTTTCTTTGCACATGAGCATAAAATGTATGTATTGAATTTGGAGGTTGTCCAGTAACTGTCCTTTCAGTGCGGCTGAATATAGATTACAGCTGTTTGGAAAGAAACAGGCAGTCACGGTTTCTCTTTCTTCTCTCACAGAGTGTCTCCTCTGCAGAAGTCTGAGATAGTGGACGTGGTGAAGAAGCGGGTGAAGGCCATCACCCTCGCCATCGGGGACGGCGCCAACGACGTGGGGATGATCCAGACAGCCCATGTGGGTGTGGGAATCAGTGGGAACGAGGGTATGCAGGCCACCAACAACTCAGATTATGCCATCGCACAGGTGAGCAGTGTGAGTGGCCCACTGTCCTGTGCTGTTGACAGTGATGGCAGCCGGGGATGAGAGCCTGTCCTGATATCCTGTCCTGCTCTGAGACATTTGCCACCCCCGTTGAGGTTGATGGCTAGATGAACCCACAGGGGCATTTGAACTTCCCTGTGGTTTTGATCTTGTGTAGTTAGGAGGCCTTGTCCCGCTGGCTGGGTTTCTTTTGGCCGGCTGTGAGGGTGGCCAGGCTGCTCTGCCATGCAGGCAGGTGCCGCTCCTGACAGATTGGCCCTGATCTGCTGCATGCTCCTTTCTTTCTGTGTGCCCTGCTGAAGAGCAGCTGTACTGCGGATATCCAGTCTTGTTGCCCTCTCCTGGCCTCACCCCTCCGTCCAAAGGCATGGGGGCACTCTAATCAGGTGCATAAGGTCAGGGAGGAGCAGTGATGTGTAGCTGCTGCCATCTCTGTAATCACAACAGGGGAGCAGTTCAGGACCGCTGCTGTGAGATGCATTGCTAAGAGCATAATCCAGGTTTGGGCCTTAATGACCCCATGGGCAGTAGCAAACAACTTCCTGCAGTTAGGCCAAGTTCAGTCCATTCCTGTCTGAATCAAGTATTGCATATTGAGGTTTCCAGCCCTGGTTACTGCCCTGGTGGCCTGATGACGATATGTCTGCTCCTTAATGATGGACCGAAGGTGAAGGGAAATAGTCAACCTCGTGACCCCCAGAGTACACATCTAGATCTACTGGCCTTCTGGAGAAATCCAGACAACCTAGACATCACAGTGAACACATATCGTTTCTTCCTGTTTCCAGATTGTGATGTCCGGATTAAATACCTGCTTCTTCACTGGGGAGCCAGAGTTCACTGGTTTCTGCAGTTTTTAGGATTTTAAAGAATGGGTTAACCCTAGTCATGTGAACATAAGGAATAATGGCTTTGTCCCACTTCAACCTGAAATCAGGGGCAGCATATAAAACAGAATGAGTTTCCTACTGCCCCAGAGCTGCGGGCTGGCTCTCTGCAGCTGTGGGGTGCCACCTCCCAGCTTGCCCTTCTGCAAATGGGGGGAAGAATTTACAGATCCTCCTGGCTCTGAAAAGTGCATGAAATCAATTTTGTTCCTCCATTGATTTCAAATAAATCCTCAAGGTAATTCTTGAAGTAGGCAGGAGGAAGAATTTTGATCTTACAGGTGGGAAAACTAGGATTCCTTTACATCAGGTGACCTGTCTCAGGTCCGAGCGAACCTCTGGGGTCAGAGAATGGCAGACCTAAGTGTGAACTTGTGGGCTGGCCCCACACACCTGCCCGTTTACTTTCCCGAGTCAAATGCTGCGAGGCCTGGGGGACGAGCGCTTCCTGTGGTCTGTCAGCAACTGTAGATGTTATACACCCCAGCGTTATTAAATACTTGAGTTATAACATCATTTGGTTGGAAGGGTCTTAAGAGGTTTCCTTGGAGTTCCAGGCAAATATTTGTCTGTCTTTTTCTTTAAAATGTCTAGGGAAAGGAGATTCCATGACCTGCTGTATTGAAACTGTATTCTGTTAGGATGTGGAAGCCAGAACAATTGCTCTCTTCAAATTAAAAGCAACAAAGAAGGATGGAGTGGGGAGCAGGGCTTTGGAGCTCCCCCTGGGATGTGGCTTCCTCTCCAGCATAGAAATCGCCTCTGCCAAGAGAACCCTGAAGGCCCATGTGTCTAGGGCCCTCATTTCCCTGTTGCTAGTCTTGTTCCTGATTAGGTGGAGTGCTGTCACCACAGGGCTCGGTCTTGCCAGCCTCACATTCTCCTGGAGCCGGCTGTGCCTTAATTACTGCACTAGAAATGCCACAATTTGGTGACTTCCCTTACCCTTGTTGAAATGATAAAAATCTCTGGTTGAAGTTTATACCTTGTGCTTTATCTGTTTATTGTAAGATGGATGAATTTTTTTGTATTGGGCTTTTGAGGAAATACCCTGTAGGGTTAAATATGGAAGTGAGAAAATATTTAGCTCCGTGATTTATCCTTGGGGAAAGCTGTGGGTGTCTGTGTGTTTGTGTCTCTGTGCGTATCTCTGTGCAAAGCTCTGGTTCTCTTTCTTTCCTGCCTCAGGGTATGTCTCAGGGACTGAATGTCCTCTGTCTGGCCACCTTGCCCTGGGAAGCTTTTGCTGTTGCTATATAATATTGAATCTGTTCTCCTCAGGGGAGAATCTTTCCAGACCCCTACCTTCTTAATGTTTTCTGAATGACCTCATGAAGACAACATTTTGATTTATACTTATATATATATATTTTTTTCCCCTGAAAACAAATCATCGCAGCGCTCCGGTTGAAGCAGGTTTCGGGATGATTCCAGCAGATGTTCTCTGTGCCCATTGAAGTTTAACACCAGGGGGTCCAGGTCAAATGCAAACTTCCTTTTTATTTGTTTTGCTAGTTATTTTATGATTCCCAATTCCCCTTTGGAATCCTTAATGAGCCTTTATGGGGAGTTTTATTTTTCCATATGTACCTCCTTCTGCTATTTTGAAGTCATCATCTGGATGTCAGGGTATGTGGGTAGGCCTGACCCTGACGTCCCAGAAGAACTTGCTGAAATGTGACTTCAGCCGGGATATGGTTCCTTGTTTAGTGCTAATGGGAATCATGATGTAGTTTCCTCTTGGGAAAACAAAAAAGAGTTTTATAAAAAGGTATTGTCTTTCTGGTCAGGATCTTTCTTTTTTACAGAGAATCATATTTAATTTCAAAAGTTACCTGAAATTAATAGGAAGTTTACAATCGTAAAAGAATATCTAACATTCTGGATAATCTCAGTCCAGCCTGATTGTCTCTCCTCATGGTATAATAGAGCTCATGCTTGTGGGATTTCTGACACTGCATCTGAGGACAGGGGAATTAAGGTCTTCATTCAACCAAGGGCAAACTGAACCTTGCGTGTGGCAAGTTAAATGTATAGAAATGTGACTTTAAACAGAATTGCCCCAACAATGCTCTCAGGCCAGAGTGTGACACCATCTACCTAAATTTCTGTCCCTCCAGCTCGAGGTTCTCACTGTTTAAGACTTCTGTGAAATAGAAACACAGACTGCATAGCCAGGTGAATGGGAGGCCGAGGAGATACGATTCGAGTGGTGTCCCAAGAACCCTGCCCCAAAGAGGATTTGTGTATTTTGTTGGGGTATCTTTGGCAGCTGCTGTCTCAGAATGCAAGAGCCATCACATGGCAAGAAGGGCTGTGGACTAGTTGGGCCAAAAGGAGAATAAAATGGGTCCAGAAGTAGAGACAGGGTGTGTGTCTGTGTGTGTATAAATACTTATGCACGTGTGTGTGTCCATGTCTGTGCATGTAGGTGTGCCTGTGTGTACATGTCTCTGTATCTGTGTGTCTTTGTGTGTGTGTTTGTCTGTGGGTGTCTAAGTGTGTCCTTGCATCTCTCTGTGTGTAATTGTTTTTAACCTGGAAGCTGAGAGAGGAAATAGTTTGTACACGTCCATTCCTTTTTTAAAAAACAAGACAGGGTTTCATGAGTGTCCCTGACCCTTTCTTCTGTCACCGTAAAATTTGTGGTTGCTTAAAGGCATTTGATTCTCATTGTACTTTTTTTTTTTTTGAGACGGAGTACCACTCTGTCACCCTGGGTAGAGTGCCCTGGCATCATAGCTTATAGCTACCTCAAACTCTTGGGCTCAAGCAATCCTTTTGCCTAACCCTCCTAAGTAGGTGGGACCACAGGTGCCCACCAAAACGCATGGGTAGTTTTTCTATTTTTATTTATTTATTTAGGCAGAGTCTAACTATGTCACCCTGAGTAGAGTGCCATGGCGTCACAGCTCATAGCAACCTCCAGCTCTTAGGCTTAAGTGATTCTCTTGCCTCAACCTCCCAAGCAGCTGGGACTACAGGCACCTGCCACAACACCCAGCTGTTTTTTGGTTGTAGTTGTCATTGGTCTTTGGCAGACCCAGGCTGGATCAAACCCGTCAGCTGCAGTGTATGTGGCTGGCACCTTAGCCTCTGAGCTATAAGCACCAAGACAGTTTTTCTGTTTTTGGTAGAGACAGGTCTCCCTCTTGCTCAGGCAGGTTTCAAACTCCTGAGCTCAAGCTACCCACCTGCCTCAGCCTCCCACCTATTGTACTTTTATTTCAGGTCAAGAGGTCACCTTCTTTTAATAATTATGACTCTAGAAAACCATCAGTTTAAAGAGAATCTTGTGAGGATGACAGTTCATAGTCAAGCATGGTTGGGGAAACAACTGTTGTGTAGATTTAAGAAAAGATTGTAGTTGTTCTCCCTGAGCCTGAAATCTCTGCCTTTAGGGTGTAGTTTTCCCAGGTGCCTGGAGAATCTGGTTTCTTCCATCTGCCTTGTCTGTCTTTTGCCCTTGAGGACATTTTGTGATTTTTATTCCTCAAGGATTAGCTCTTTTGATACTTTTTTATTCTTTTCTTTTTAGTTTTCCTACTTGGAGAAGCTTCTTTTGGTCCATGGAGCCTGGAGCTACAACCGGGTGACCAAGTGCATACTGTACTGCTTCTACAAGAACGTGGTCCTGTACATCATCGAGGTAAGGAAGGGTGATGCTTGTCATCCAAGAAGAGGGCCTTCTCACAGAACATCTTTGGATATTTAGAGTCATTTTGAGATGGTTTTGTTAATGTACAATTAAAGAAAAGATCCTACTGTGACTCATTAAAACTTGGGTTTCCATAACCTCCTTTGCAACTGGGTGTGTCACCCAGGCTTAGATCCCATGTCCGGGCCTTCCTCCTCCCTCGCACTCTGTCATTCCTCTGTACCTCTCTGCTCTGCTTCCTCCTTTGTGTCCCTGGCCAGAGGAGAATGTTGCTGTCATAACTCCAGGATGAGCAAAGCCTGGGCAGAAAGGCTCATACCTTCTCAGGTTGACAGTGCAACACTGTGGGGAGACCCAGTCAGGTTTCCCTAGAATAAACAAGGCCTGATTTCTTGCTGTATTTCTCCTGGACTCTGCAAATCTCCTGAACATGCATTCCCTGCTCCTAAACTACTTGGACACTGGAACTTAAGTGTGGAGGGTGTGGCAGTGAGGGCTGTGGGCGGTAAGCCGGCAAGATCATTAAGGCTGTCACAGACAGTTTCTCAAGATGCTGATTCAGTTTGTAGTAAAAGGAATGTGCTTTGCTAGAGGGAGTGTGCCCAGGAAAAAGTGGACAAGGCACCTTCTGTTTGGTATCAGTACCAGTCACCGTCTGCCGTTAAAGGTACAATATCTTTTGAGAACATCATGACTAATAGATTTCCAGATGTGTTTTCAAAAAGCGGAAGCAGACAAGTCACTCTGTGGAGGAATGCAATGCTAATTGCGTATGTTGTTTTAATATTTTATTCTATTGTGGGTTATTTTACGTTTGATTTCTCAGTGCTTGGCAAAGTGATAACCAAGGCAGAGATCAACTTTCTCTGATGCAGTCTCTGATACATTCAGCTCAGATAATCTAACAAGTACCTTGCTCATGGAGCCGTAACTGTTTCTTCGTCAAGTTCTCTTATCTTTCCCAATGAATCATTCAAGACAACTGTATAGGTTCATGTCACTCATCTGGTAATTAAATTGCTAAAGGTTTTACCAGGTTGCACAGGCTGTTCACTACACTAGCCTACCCAGCCAAAAGGGGAAATGAGGCAGAATTGTAGCCTTTGTTGCTTCATCTCTGGAGCTGCCCAGGGCCCACCTAGAAACAGCAGTGTGTTTTTCTCATTTGCACAGTGGACAGCCTGCTCAACAGTGCCCAGGTGGCACCGCATTTGCAGAGGGCACACCTCTTCTAGTTCACACAGGAGCTACTTGTGGCCTGGGGAAGCAGCCCTGATTCTCAAAGAAGGGTCCAAGCAACTAAAAGAGATCTGGGTAAAGTCCTGAAAACTGACCCATTCTTCTTAATTCGAATCCACATGTTCTGTCTGTATTAGCAAATATTATTTCTCTAGTGAGAAAATATATAGCAGCGTCTTGAGAGATGTGGAGTTGTAATCGTCATTTTATACTTTTCTGTAAAGGTCATAGGAAAAAATAATTGCCATCTTGCTAGGAATAATGAGGTTAAAATCAATAATCTAAAAAATTATCCGTGATTTGTCTGCTGGTCTTGTGCTGTAATATTCAACTCAGTCCACTCTGGCTAAGAGCTTGTAGATGTTGGAGTAATGGGTTTTGTGTGGGTTTCCTTCCTCCTGCTCTTATTTCTCCAATTCCTTTTTGGCACTTCAAGATGTTTGTCCCCCTCATTTTTCCTCCTGTTTGTTGTTGTTGTTGTTGCTTCTGTGATAGGAGTCACTCCTGACAGTCACTTTGGGTCATAGATGATAATGTGAAGGGGTTTTGGAACCCTGTTCCTATATCCCACCCCACGTTTCCTGGCATTTCATGCTCTTAAAGCTCTTAGCTTCTCAAGGTTTCTTAATAATCTGGTTTTCTTCACAACCAGCAAATTACAGATAGTCTAGACTTCTTATCAAGACACTTCATGGAGCTCCCAACACTTTTGCTTTCCTGAGCGTTCCCTGGGGCCCCTTCTTAGTCATTCACACCTACTATCTTGCTGCCTTTTTTTTTTTTAAACTTGAAGTGGGCTGAGACTGAGAAGAATACAGTTTTAATCTGTCTGAGAAATTCCGTGTGGAGTTAGGCCCTGAAAGTAGCAAGCGAGTGCCTCCAACCAGTATTTCAGTTGTGACCGGGTGACAGTTTTTAATGGTCTTTTGTAAACTGCCTTTTAAGCCTTCTTTATAAAGTTTGTACAATGCTATGATTTAATAAAAAGAAAAAAGTAAAAAGTATCTTCCACTCTGTACCCAATTTTCTATTTAGTATTTCTAGGAGGTATTCCTTTCAAAATCCGGAAAACAAAATCTCTGGTGGAGCCCAGATTCAGACATGTCTGCCATTGCCAGATCACTTCCTTTGCATCAACGTGTACTTCAACTGTATTTGTAAATATAGGAAAGTACTACTTGCATGCTATTTTAGTGTGTTTTGAACTGTGAGATCAAAGATTATTGTATGTCGGCATGCCGATTTGCAAACACTTTTTTTGTTCTAAAGGCAACCTTATGATTAATCACTTCAGTAAGAATCAATTAAATACTTAGATCTCTTAAATGGTTTTCTAGTAACCCAAGGAGAGTTCCTTCACAATAGCCGATATGATCTTATCTCAAATGTCTTCTGAGACACATAACTTCCCAGTCATTTAAAAATAGTCTAAAAGCAATTGGGCAAATTAAAAAAATACACACATACAAGCATGCATGCATGTGATACATATCTTGGGACCTTAGCTGTTATGATGGGGGATCGCTATTGAACTGCCAGTGAAGACTGCAGGGACGAGCTGCAAGCCTGCCATGTGATGCAGCCTGCTGACTTGGCATACCCACGGAAAAACGGGGGGTTTCTATGCAAGGAACACACGAAGGTGCTTTCTTTGCTGCTTGGAGCATAAAGTTCTCTGCCTTCACCCCTGATCCCCTGGTGTATTATCTGTCCAGACCTTTTCCTTTGCAGTTACAGAGATATTTATGGGTGTAAACTATCAGTGTTTTTAGATAAATGTCATTATGCCGTGCAGTCCTTCTGCAGCTCACGTTTCCGGTAATGTGCATGCTGGAGACCTTCCCCCTTACTATGTACAAACCGGAGCGTGGCGTTTCACAGTGTGATTTCCTACAATCGGACCACTTCCTGCCTTGATAAATCTTCCAGTCATCTCTGGTTTCACTCACCAAAAGCTTTGTGGACTAACAGCTTGCTCTCTATGAAAGCCATGACTCTTCCACCAACACGAGAGTGATCTAATTAGACTGTTTGCACCACAGTGCCTTGAACACAACACGTGCTCAGTTTGTGTTTTTACATGTACAGCAGGCTGATGAATTATCTAATGCCTGTAGAGTGTGCCACACAAAATTTATTCAGGCCACGGTACCCATTGGTTCAAGTGATTTAAAAGACAGAAACAGAATGACGGAACCTGTGGTTTTGTGGTGGCTCCGTAGGTGCGCTTAAAACTAAAAACGCGTACAGCCTTTGCTTCCATCTCTTCTGCTTGCTGTCTGAAACATCTGATACATTCCAGGGTCTGGCACAATCTCAGGAAGGAACAGAGTGCCCAGAAATGCCCTTTCAGTGCTTAGATGTCTTTTGATAAATCCTCTTCTCTTTCCCCAGTCACCTGCCCTCCGTGGTCTGGGCCCCACTGTCACCAGCCTCATCCATCACTATATCCCCCCACACTTTGTTTTCATCAGTGTTATGGAAGTATAATTAACATACTGAAATACATATGGTCTTTTGTAAAGGGTTCTGTTAATTAAAATAAAACTGTATATATATATATTTTTTATCATTAGAAACAAACTGGTGATTTCCTGTCTGCCCCCCATAGATAGTGACAAGAACGTCACAGAGCCCTAGCGATGGAATGGCGGTGATGGTTGCTTAAGGATGGGAACATCCTGTAACTGTAATACAGATGTGAACCACGGGAGCTGTACACTTTAAAAGGGTTGAGATGGTAGACTTTATGTTATATATGTTTGAATCACAATAAACAAAAGAAAAATAGAGAACTCATAAGCACCTTGCTGCTCTCGTCACTGTGAGGGGGACAACAATGTGTGAAGACAGCTCATGTGCTTTAGAGAGCTTGTGGAAGTTTTGGAAAACAAACTTTATACATGGTTTGGTTCTGTATTAAACTAATTAAATGCCAAGTTTCAGGCATGTTGCCGGATGGATCATATTTCTCGGAAGGTATAATTCTGTTGTGAGGTAGAATACTCAGAGCTGCAGGGCCTTGTGGGAAGATGGGATTCCAGCTAGAGGGGGTCATGTTCTCTGTGTGTGTGTCTTGGGGGAAGAGATGGGGCAAAATTAGCACCGAGAGGGAAGGAGGGAGGACTGGAGAGGGGATGTAAATGGCCAGGGAGGGGATCTGAATAGCTTGACAGTAGTATTTTTGCAATTGGAAGCTGGGATTCCTTTTTCTCCATTTTAGAATTGGCAAATTACATGGCAAAGGAGATTTAAGAAAATTTGTCTGTCAATATGTAGGGCAGATGGTAACCAGAAAACACAAATGTAATTTTGTAGCTCTAATCCTGGGGTATAAATCATGACCGTTATGTAGCTATCTCTCCATATAATTTTAAGCAAAAAGAAAGAACTGGTTTAAAAACTCCTTTTAATTTTGGCAATGGGAAAGATTTACCTTAACTGCAAAGATTGGGAGTGAAGAGGTTAGGGAAGGATTCCTATCAATTTTTTAAGTCCTGATTGAGCTCTCTGTGGTATCTCCTAAAGAAGGGCTGAGTAAATTCTTTAAAGTCCGTAGACCATTTAACAGGTTAGGAGTTAGTTCCTGAGAACTTCCTGAATAGAGTACATTGCAGAGCACAGCAGCATCAGCTTGTAAAGCATTTCTAAGGTGTGCACTTGTCCATGGACTTTCTGAACCCCTGCGAGAAGGTTATTTGGAATACATAAAACTTTTAGTGGCAATACAATTCAAAGAGAAAAATAATAGG